GCCTCGGCCTCTCAAAGTGCTGGGATTATAGGTGTGAGCCACCATGAGCAGCCAAGAAGCTGGGTAAATGTTAAAGAATAATTTCCCAGTCAGAGACAAATAATTTACACATTTCAAGTTAACAAGCATCTACTGAAAAAAGCTAATAGCTGTATCAAGCTTCTCAGTTATAACTATGCAGTAGAAACCTTAAAAATGGAACATAGTTCATAGACGGCTCTTCTAAAACAGAAGCTCTTCAGAGCTGGGAGATGGTAAAGCAGAGTGGCTCAGACTGCTTTGTGCTCTGGAGCTATATAATTTTTCGGTTTGATGACAACCAGTTCTGCTTCTCACTAGCTGTGTGACCTGGGGCATGTTACATAACCTCTCTGTTCTCAGCGATCTCACCTGTGAAATAGAAATCACAATACCTTCTAGTTCTGTTGGGGATTTAATAAGTTAATACTTGTAAAGTTCTTAAAAGAACAAGTGTTAACTCATTTAATCCCTAACAGAACTAGGAGGTACTGTGATTTGGCAGTTGGCTAGTAATTTGTTGCTTCTTAATTTGCACCACTAAAGTTAGGTGTATGAGGCATCATTTAAAAGGAAAATAGATTTTTTCTTTTAAAAATATCATACTTTTGTTTTCAGATCCCGAGACTACTCAGGAATTTTAGCTGATGCTCCCTAAAATGGACTATGGTGGTATTTTAAACTATTAACACTTTTTCTTTGGAGAAAACTGGAAAGTTTTCCTCTTCTTAATATTAAAAAAACTGTGGTAAAATAGGTTTACCAAAAATTGCTCATTTAACCTATTTTTAAGTGTGTAGTTGTTCAGTGGTATTTTAAGTGTGTAGTTGTTCAGTGGTATTTTAAGTGTATAGTTCAGTGGTATTTTAAGTGTATAGTTCAGTGGTATTTTAAGTGTATAGTTCAGTGGTATTTTAAGTGTATAGTTCAGTGGTATTTTAAGTGTATAGTTCAGTGGTATATTGTTGGGCAACCATCACTGTCATCATCCATCTCTAGAACATTTTCATTATCTCAAACTGAAACTCTGTGCCCACTAAACAGTAACTGCCCATTCCCTCTTCCCTACAGTCCTTGGCAACCACCACTTTGCTTTCCATCTCTATGAATGTGACTATATTAGGTACCTCACATAAGTAAGATCATACAGTACTCATCCTTTTGTGACTGGCTTATTTCATGTAGCATAATGTCCCAAGGGTCCTCCATGTTGTAGCGTGTGTCAGTATTTCATGATACACACCATTTTGGCAGCTTCCCCTTCCCCCTTTTCTATATGTTTGAGAGATCTACCCTGACACTTTTTAAAAGTTACACAGTATTCTCTTAGATGGAAGCACCATCATCTATCTACTGATCTCCTATCAACAACCATACAAACTGCTCCCATAATTTTGCTATTATAACAGTGCTAGAGTGAACACACTTATGCATGTGTCATTTTGTATTTAAACCAGTTCATCTGGAAGAAAAATCCCTAAAAGTTATCTTATCTGGTCAATAAGAATGTGCATTTAGAATTTTGATAAGTACTGCCAAGTTAACTTCCAAAAATATTGCCCCAGTGACATTCTCATCAACAGTAAAGGAGAGCCTTTTTGTCCGTATCCTTTAAATGAGGAGTATTTAAAATATTTTTAGTCCTTGCCAGTCTCATAGGTGATAAGCATGGTTATTTAAAATAGGTTTCCTGACAGAGAAAAACGATAAATACTCAAGGTGATAGATATCCCAGTTAGTCTGATTTGATCATGATGCATTGTATACATGTATCAGAATATCACATGTATCCCTAAAATGTGTACAACTATGACATATAACTACACAATCCACACACATGAAATAAAACAGGTATAAGGGAGGACTTGCTGGTATGCAATGCGAGCACAAGGGTGCTCAGGGGTGAAATTAGAGGGCACCAGAGTCCTCTGGCTCTATCTGGATGCCTTTTCTTTTTTTCAAGATGGAGTCTCACTTACTCTGCTGCCCAGGCTGGAGTGCAATGGTGTGATCTCTGCTCACTGCAACTTCTGCTTCCCGGGTTCAAGTGATTATCCTGCCTCAGCCTCCCAAGTAGCTGGAATTATAGGCATGTGCCACCATGTCTGGCTAATTTTTGTATTCTTTGTGGAGACAGGGCTTCACCATGTTGGCCATGCTTGTCTCAAACTCCTAACCTCAAGTGATCTACCACCTCAGCCTCCCAAAGTGCTGGAATTACAGGCGTGAGCCACTGTGACTGGCCTGGATGACTCTTCTTATTGATTCAAGGAAGAGAACAGTATTCCAGTACAAACAGGACTAGAAAGGGTTCTGCTTGGTACTATAATCAGGACTGACATTGAGTAGGAAGGCACACATGCAGCTATGCTTGGTTAAGATATTGACAATTCCACCATAGTGGTTGGTAGCTGACCAGTTCCCTGAGCCCCACTCTTGAATTCTCAGACACCTCCCACAATCCAGCACCTCAAGGGTAAAACCTTGTGCCAAAAGAGGCCCTTTTAGACCCTGCCCAGAACTATGGCCAATGCCTATTCAGGCTGTTCCTTAGTTGTGCAGAGAGGCTACTAATAGTTTCAATATTGCTCCTGCCTACCTGGGTCTAACTTTTTGTAAGACTCCCCTCTATTTCTGAGCCTCTAGCACTGGTGTAAACATGCTGTCTATTTCAGTTACAAGATCCTGTCTTTCTCATTCTTTCACTCTCAAAATGTTTATTGAGTACTTCATATATGGCAATTGCTGAACCAGGATCCTAGAATATTACTGTGAAGAGGGCAAATGCTGTCCCAGGCCTCAGGGACCTTATACACCAGCAGGGAAGGCAGGTGAAAAGTAAATGAAGAGACAAATTAAAAAAAAATTCCCAGGAGTAATGAGTGCTATAAAGGAGGCTCTAGAGATGAGTTCATGAATGACTAACTTCAGCCACCCAGGTAGCTGGGACTACAGGTGCACACCACCACGTCCAGCTAATTTTTGTATTTTTAGTAGAGATGGGGTTTCACCACATTGGCCAGGCTAGTCTTGAACTCCTGACCTTTTGATCTGCCTGCCTCTGCCTCCCAAAGTGTTAGGATTACAGGCGTGAGGTACTGCGCCTGGCCTGTGCAGCCTCTCTTATACCTACTTTAAATAATCAAGTTCAGCACCTGTCAGACTGGCAATGATAATCAATTTTGGAATACTCCTTGTTGCAAGGATGTAAAAAAAAATAGGCTCTCATAGTCGTTGCTGATGAGAGTGACAGTAGGAGCAATATTTTTGGAAGCTCACTTTTCAGAGGGGGCCCCTTTAGTAGAGAAGCCAGAGAAACCCCAGTCTGAGACTTAAAGGAAAAGGATACAGGAGGAAGAGAGGGAAAGAAGCAAGGCTGCATTGTTCAGTGGGTAAAAACTCCAAGTGGAAAGTCATTGCCTGTTTTTTAGAGGGAACCAAAGAAGGCAAGAATGAGTACGGGGAGCTAAGGAGGTGAGGCTGGAGGTAACATCTGGGACCAGGTCAAGTCCAGCCTTACAGATTACAGCAAAGAGTTTAAGACGGTCTTATTTGTATCCTAAGAAAGTCCTGCATCATTTAAGTCTGTATTCTCCAATGCTTCTCAAGGTGCTTGAATCAAGGAAACAATCAACAAGACTTTGTTTGAGAAGTATGCTGACCCCCTGTAGCTTTCTTCTATCTCTGCCTGGCACCCATCAGTTCCTGTGACAGCTGCATGAACAGTACAAATATGTCCAGAGTTAAAGAAATGAGATCTTTCACTTCCCCAACATCTGTTATGCTCTTCCACATCTTTGCCCCTTGTAAAACAAACAACTGAAATTTCTATCCCTGAAGTACACTTTACTCAATGATAAAATCGGCCAGTGATTACCGAGCACTTTTTATGTGCTAGGAATTCTTCCAAGTGCTTTGCCTATATTGACTCATTTCATCTACTGAGTAACTCTATAAAGTAGGTTTTACCATCACCTACATTTTACAAGTGAGAAAACTGAGGCAAAAAGAGATGAATCATTTTGACCACAATCACGCAAGTGGTAAGTGATAGGGTAAGATCTCCAGAGTCGACATCCTTGACTGCTAACGTGACATTTCTCTCCAGCAGGTGCCAGATGTGGAATTGCAATCTTACCATTGATTTCACCAAAGGAAGCATTTTGAGACATAAAATGATGTTCCTAACTGTTGCACATTTTACTTATGTGCAGTTCATAGTTTTGCATATTTTATATCATGTCCTTCAAACTGCTTTTGAGTGTCAGATATGAACTTCTGAGCACCTCATGAAGAAGCATTTTGAGACCTCATCTGGTTGTGTTGCCTACATGCCTGGCAGTTTGGTTTCTATAGCACTGCCATCATTATAACAGTGCTGTGCAACTCTTCAAATAATCCGTTCCCCTCTTATTATAAAAAGCAGCAGAAAACAGAAAGTGAAACTCAGGTATCGATACTAAGGATACAAAACACTCCCTTACTTCAATTAAGCTAAAGATGAAAATCATTGCACATATAAAAAGAATCAACTGTTTGCTTTGCTCAGTTGCCCACTGGACTTAAGCTGGTGAAGCTGTTCAACCGTGGATAAAAAGAAAATTTTTTATGTCTTATAAATGTGTGTATAAAATATTGAAAATATAGGAAATATGTCTGAGGCACAGTTAGTACAGTTAACTTTTTTTATTTGTTTATTTTACTCTGTAGGAAGAGACCTTCTATAAAAATGTAAGCCTATTATTCAACTTTTGGGTGTTGAACTTTCATTTGAAAGTAGGAGAATAAGAGTATTTATTAATTTTCTTCCTCATGCTAGTAGTGTAAATATTTTGCTAATATGCCATATCACACATCATATCACATCCTGTCCAAGCCCCGCTTGATAAGTCAATGTGTACTCACACAAACACATATAAATTCACTTTCCTGTTCTATCTAACATATCAAAGAGTTCAGAATTTACAGAAACATCAACTTACCTTTAACTAGTAAGTATTCTCTTGCCTTTCTTCTGTTTTTATTGTAATAATCTTCAAATTTTGCGTGCTATGCATAGATGTCATCTTTTTCTCTCACGCATTCTTTCTTCTGGATTTCTCATTAAAGCCTGTAATACAGAAGAGAGAAGCTCCTTAATTTCTGTAGGCACAGGGAAAGCAACTATAAATCTCAAGGCAATGACACTTCTAATTTATTCCTAATTTTTCCCTGGCTGACTACAGTTTAATCACTGTTTTAGAAATTCACCTAATTACATGAGATTTAGAATAGAGTTCTCTCAAAATACAGATGAAATTGAGGCTAGTCTCCTTAACAACTAAAGACTTCATACCAATTTGGCTTCTTACAGGATGCATGTCACTGAATATACCATGTTAGACTTCTACTGTCTCTGTAGGAGGAGATTCTGAAGTGCTCAAAGCTATCTACACTCAGCTACAAAATCAGTGCTGTCAAAGTGGGAGAGAGAACTCAGTAATACATCCCCTTGGAAGCCATGTTTCAGAGTTACTGAAACCAGAATGGCATTCCTGAAACTGGTTTTTAACAGATGTCAGTGTGGTGAGAATGAAACACGTCATGAATACTGATGAAATCTAGCATGGATATCGTGCCGTAAGATATCCTCATTTATATGTATTTCTCATTCTCCCTACTACAGAAAAGAAAACAGCTTTCCTCCCAGAAGCTCTGCTTCAGTCAATAAGCACATTTCTCCCTTGTCACTTGTGAGGTCACACTGTTTCACACACGCCCGTGTGTAAAAACAGGACAAGGAGGAACGCAGAAGTGGCAGATGTGGCATCCCTTGTTCTGCCATGTGGTAAGTGAAAACTCTCTGTGGCAACATCTGCATGGTACCTCCCACGCCACCTGCCCCTCCACTTCCCCTGGGTGTGCAGCAAGGCATCTAGGTGCAAAGTGGCACAAGAAGCAGGAAGTCAGCAGGACTTCTTCACAAACACCTTTGCCCTCTCTCTCCTTACTGTTGCCATAAGACAAAGGCATTTTTCTAGCAGGAACTCAATATTCAAGGAGTTCAACTCAAATAAGGGTACAGGAAGAAGACTAGGTTGAGAGCTTCTTACAGGCGATATTTTTTAGTACCCTTTTAGGAGGAATACATATTGGGCATGGAGTCATGGTTTGGGTAGTACTAAAATCGGTATGAACTCTCCACCCAGTCATCCTCTTGGCCTTCATGATCTCTCAGTGAAACATTAGGCAAAGAGAAGATACACTAGAAATGTGTTTTAGTCTAAGCCGCCACTTTACAGATGAGATAAATGAGATCCAGAAAGAGAGAAAGAGAAAGAGAAAGCAACTTGTAAAATGTTTCACAGGGCAGAGCTGGCATTGGAATGACTCAGTGCATTTTCTGCCTCATCATGTCATCTCTCCACAGCTTTCTTGTGTCTGCCTAGCGACAAAAGCTCCTTGAGGGATTAAGCCCTGTAAACAATGATATACCAAGCAGTGACTAATGTCACATGCAAAGAACTAGTTAAATCCCTTACTTATTTAGTGGGTGTTAACAAAGACTACACAGTTGCTGTCAACTTGGAGCACAAAGGCAGAAAAAAAGAGAAATAAACAGATACCTCCTGATGGCCATCAACAGTTACTGTTTATTAAGTGACCAACATAAGCCATACACTATGCCAGGCACCTAACTGAATTGCTGCTAATGCTTCTGGAAACTCTGAAGATAATATGGATGCTATTATACCAGGAAGATAAATAAACCAAGTCAGGGAAACAAGATACCTTGCCTGAGGTTACACACAAGTAGTTAGTTCTTGGATTCTATGGCCACATGCACACTGACTTCCTGCCTGCAAAAAGCAGCATTATAAACCGAAGAAATATGCATCTATTGGAAAACCCCAGAACCCAGGAAAAGAAACAAAGTAGACAGTATTTGGAAGGAAAGTAAAGGGAGAAAGAAAAGCAAAGGGAGATAAGAGCATTGTGGGAATCTGTTCTACAACTGTGAACACACAGGAGGGATATGTCTTAAGATCTATGAACACATCAAATATGCAAATATAATTAAAGCACTTGACTCCACCTATAAACTCTGGTACAAGATACTTGTGATACTGGGTATCTGGGAATGAGCAAAGAAGCTTAAGATCTCAATGAGATGGGGTAGATGAGTTACAATCACCCACTGTGTTAGTTTGCTAGGGCTGCCATAACAAAATGCCAAAGACCGTGTGGCTTACACAACAAAAAAATGTGTGTTCTCAAATTTCTGGAGGCTCAAAGTCCAAGATCAAGGTGTCAACAGAGCTGGTGTCCTCTGGGGCCTCTCTTCTTGGCTTGCAGATGGGCACCTCTTTACATGGGCTTTCCTCTGCACCCAAACACCCCTGGTACCTTTTTTTGTATCCATATTTCTTCTTATAAAGACACCAGTCACACTGTACTAGGGACCATCCTCAAGGCCTAATTTTAACTTAGTCATCTCTTTGGAGATGCTATCTACAAACACAGCCACATTCTGAAGTAGGACGAATTAGGACTTCAATATATCAATTAAGGGGCTGGCAAAAATCACGCCATAACACTCACCAAGTGACTAGTTCTGGTGCCACAGAGATGAAAATCCAGATACGTGAAAAGTAACAACCTGTCATCAACCTTCAGTGTCATTTATAAAGAGCTGAAGCCCTCTACTGTTTGAACTCAAGTTCAGAAATCTAACCGTCAGTGTCGTTTATGAAGAGCTGAAGCCCTCTAATATTTGAACTCAAGTTCAGGAATCAAAGGGTTTACTATGGGTTTTGGTATAAAACAAAAAAAAAGGGAGAGGAAGGCCATTCAATAAACTTCAGTCATAATGGTCTAAACCAAGGGTCAGAAAACTACTGCCTGTCAGTTAAATCCAACAAGCTGCATGTTTTTCTAAATATAGTTTTATCAGCACACAGCCATGTCCATTCACGTATGTATTGATTGTCTATGGCTGTTAGGGTGCTACAACTGCAGAGCTGAATAGCTGTAACAGAAACTGTGTGGTCCACAGGGCTGAAAATATCCACTATTAGCCCTTTACAGAGAAAGTTTGCCAACTCCTGGTTTGAACTATGTTAATCAGATTTCTTTACAGTAGGGCTTTTCAAAATCTTCTCAATCTTCAAGGAGAAGATACATAGAAAAATTGCATCTTAGATGGGAGGTAGTTTCTAAAGTCAGTTCAAAGTGAAGACTGTGTATAATCAAAATTAACACTGAAAAATCCCTTAGGGAAAGTGCCAACATAGAGCCCACCGTACTACATTATCATGAATATAGCCAGTTTTTCCTTCAAAGTTGCAACAGATAAAAGTTTCTTTGAGCACTACATAAAAGAATTGGCTTTATTTATGAACCATTTGTATAAATAGATGCATATCTTTAAATAACAGAATTACTTTCAGCAAAAGAGACTTGAAAAAACTGAGACCAATCATAGGACAGGAGATTCAGTTACCATCTCCTATTCACTTGTTGGATTTGCAGAAGTTATGTATATACTGGAAATGGCTCTACTGGATGGAGTTTTCTTCCTTTCTCAGCTTACTTAACCAAAGAATTTCTTTCTCAATTTTCTTATCTTATCCCATAGAAACCTCTAATATATGCAATCTCTAATAATAAATCTGTATTACATTATATAATATTATATTATAATATAATGCAATCAATGTATTATATAATATACTACTATATAGTAATAATATAGTATTATATTATTATAATGTAATACTATATATACTATTATATATTATTGTATATAATATACTGATATATAATAGCATGTATTATATATTATTTTAATTAATCTTTATTATATACATATTATACATATTATATATGAGTATGTATAGTATACTAGTGTACATATTATATATGAGTATGTATAGTATACTAGTATATATATTTTATATTTTATATATATATATATATACACATACATACATAAATAAAAGTTACCTTTCTTTTTTGAGATGGAGTCTTGTTCTGTCACTCAGGCTGGAGTGCAGTGGCACAATCTCAGCTTACTGCAATCTCCACCTCCTGGGTTCAATTGATTCTCCTGCCTCAGCCTCCAGAGTATCTGGGATTACAGGCATGCACTACCATGCCCAGCTAATTGTTGTATTTTTTGTAGAGACGGGGTTTTACCATGTTGGCCAGGATGGTCTTGATCTCTTAACCTCATGATCTGCTGCCTCAGCCTCCCAAAGTGCTGGGATTTCAGGCGTGAGCCACTGCACCCAGTCCAAAAGTTACCATTTTAACAATTTTAAAATCCCCAGGCACAGTGGTTTATGCCTGTGATCCCAGCACTTTGGAAGGCAGAGGCAGGACGATTGCTTGAGCCTAGGAGTTCCAGACCAGCCTGGGCAACATAATGAGACCTCGTCTCTACAGAAACTTTTTTTAAAAGCTGGGCATGATGGCGCATGCCTCTGGTTCCAGCTACTCAGGAGGCTGATTTGGGAGGGTTGCTTGAGCCTAGCGGGTTGAGACTGTAGTGAGCCATGATTGTGCCACTGCACTCCAGCTTGGGCGACAGAGTAAGACCTTGTCTACCTGCATTCACAATGTTGTACATCAACTAACACCATCCATCTCCAGAACATTTTCATCATCCTGAACTGAAACCCTGTGCTCATTAAACTGTAACTTCCCATTTCCCAGTACCCCCAACCCCTTGTAACTTCTGCTCTACTTTCTGTCTCTGTGAGTTCAACTACTCTAGATAGTAATTACTATTCAACTATTGTAGATACTAATTACTCCATGTAAGTGGAATCATACAATATTTATCATTTCATGTCTGGCCTATTTCATTTAGTATAATGTTTCCAGGACTCATTCATATATCAGACTCTCATTCCTTTTTAAGGTGAACAGAATTATAGTCCATTGTATGTATATGCCATTTTTCATTTATCCATTAATCTGTTGGTGGACATTTGGATTGTTTCCACCTTTGGTTATTGTGAATAATGTTCCTATGAACACTGGTATACAAATATTTGTTCAAGGCCCTGCTTTCAAGTCTTTTGGGTATCTGCCCAGAAATGGAATTGCTGGATCGTACAGTAATTC